CAAGATAAAAGAGCTGAACAGAAGATTTCAAAGAGCAGCTCAAGAAGACAAAGTCAATTATTATAATGAAATGTGCAAAGACCTAGAGTTCGAAAATCAAAGAGAAGAACATGTTTGGCATTCCTCAAGCTGAAAGAACTAAAGAAAAAGTTTAAGACTCTAATTGAAATATTGGAAGATTCTATGGGCATAATATTGAATGATGCAAGAAGCATCAAAAGAAGATGGAAAAAATACATAGAGTCACTGTACCAAAAGTATTTGGTCAGTATTCAATATTTCAGGAGGTGGCATATGATAACTAATAGGAGTGAAGGAAGAAGTCGAAGCTGCACTGAAGGAATTGGCAAAAAACAAAGCTCCAGGAATTGACAGAGTACCATTGAGATATTTCAACAAACCAATGCCATGTTGGAGGCGCTTACTAGTTTATGCCAAGAAATTTGGAAGACTGCTACCTGGCCAACTGACTGGAAGAGATCTATAGTTGTATCCATTCCAAAGAAAGGTGATCCAAAAGTATGTGGAAATTATTGAATAATATCATTAATATCACATGCAAGTAAGATGTTGAAGATAATTGTAAAAATGGTTGCAGCAGTGTATTGACAGAGAACTTCCAGAAATAGAAACTGGATTCAGAAGAGGACCTGGGAACAAGGGATATCATTGCTGATATGAAATGGCTGAAAGCAAAGAATACCAGAAAAATGTTTACTTGTGTTTTTTATTGACTTGCAAAAACATTCGACTGTGTGGATTATAACAAATTATAGATAAATTGGGAAGAATGGGAATTCCAGGACACTTAATTGTGCTTATGAGGAACCTATACATAGAACAGGAAGCTGTTGTTTAAATGTAACAAGGGGTACTGCATTGTTTAAAGTCAGGAAGGGTATGTGTCAGGGTTGTATGCTTTCACCATACTTATTCATTCTATATACTGAGCAGATAATCTGAGAAGCTGAAGTATATGAAGAAGAGCATGGCATCAGTATTGGAGGAAGACTCTACCAACCTGTGATATGCAGACAACATATCCTTCCTTGCTGGAAGTGAGATTGACTTGAAGCACTTACTGATGAAGATTAAAGACTACAGTCTATAGGATGGATTATATCTCAGCATAAAATGAAACTCCTCACACCTGGACCAATAAACACCATCACAATAAATGGAGAAAAGATTGAAGTTACCAAAGATTTCATATTGCTTGGATCCACAGTGAACACTCATGGACGCAGCAGTCAAGAGATCAGATGTTGTGTTGCCCTGGGCAAATCTGCTGCAAAAGACCTCATTAAAGTGTTGAAGAGCAAATATGGTACTTTTAAGACTAAGGTACACCTAACCCAAGCCATGGTAATTTCATTCACCTCACGTGCTTGTGAATGTTGGATAGTTAATAAGACAGACTGAACAAGAGCTTTTGAGTTGTGGTGTTGGTGAAGAATACTGAAAGTATCATGGACTACCAGAAGAACTAACAAATCTGTCCTGGAAAAAATGCAGCTGGAATGCTCCTTGGAAGTGAGAATGACCAGACTTCATCTCAACCTTCTTTGGTCATATCAGAAGAGACCATTCCCTGGAGAAGGATATCACGCTTGGTGAAGTGGAGAGTCAGTGAAAAAGGGGAAGACCCTCAACTAGATGGATGACACAGGGTGCAGTGATGGGCTCAAGTATAGCAAGGATTGTGAGGATGGTGCACTACTAGGCAGTGTTTAGTTCTTTAGTACAAGGGGTTGCTGTGAGTTGGAGCTGACTCAATGGCACCTAATAACAACAACATCTTTTACAAAGTACTGGCACATAGCTGGCACTCAAATGTTTGAGTGCAGGAATGCAAAAGAGGTTAATAATTCCCTCATAGAGAAAATACTTTTCTGTTAACTTTATATATTAACTAAGGATTAATCCCCAAAGATAAATATTTTTTGTTTCCTGAGAAAAATTGTAGAGTTCATGTACTAACAATCAAACATTTTATTTCTAGGATTGCTTCTCCATCCCTTTTTCAGGTCCTGTTTAATCTCTCTCTCATTCTCTCTATCTCTCATACACACACTTTGAGTTTTTGTTTTTTGTCTCTTGATAGTTTTATACATCTTTTCATACTTGGACATGGTACAAAATTCTAAAGTGACAAAACAGTAAACAGAAAAAGTTTGTCTTTTATTCATATCTTCAAGCTTCAGATTTTCTTTTTCTGGAGTTAACCACTTTACCACTGTCTTCTATTTTCTTGTAATATTCTAAACATTAACCAGTATACCTAAATAATAGCATATTGTACATAATATCTGTTTTTTGCTTTGGTATCACATCTTACACATATTTTTTTTATAAATACCAAATTGTGCTTTTTATGTTTTTCTTTTGTGTGTTGTTTTTATCACGGTTGTAATTCATTTGGAAAATATATTCTAACAATTACACAGTCATGCAGATTCTTAATTATCTTGATCATTATTCCTAATACATATTTTCCTAATACGTGGCACATTAGAAGCAATATATAAAAAGGGGATAATAAGGACTATGAATGACAAGACCACTACCACAAGGTGCAAGGAATTTGTACTGCTGAAAATAAGGAAATAAAGGCCAGGTACAGGTAATAATAAAGTGAGAACTGAGAAAACTGGCCTGTTGGTTGTGATAGTGCCACTACTAAGTAGTGATTCAATAGATGTTAGATGTGATATTGCCCACTTTTCCTTTCTTGAGGGAATGGAGAAAGAAGTGTTCTATTCCTGTCTACCCATGAGAAGAGGTGTGGAAGTACTTTTCTCTGTGAACTGAAAGATCACAATGAATAGGATAGTGTCACATATTCATGTTTGTTCACAAATTATATACAGCTGTAAAAAGTGAGTAAAATGAAAGAAAGCCCTAAGAGAATAGAGACTGTGTCTTATTCACTGTTGAATGTAGAGTTCATTATAGCACCTGTTATTGCACTTGTTTGATAAGTAATTAGGTGGATTAAAAAAGCTGAAAATAACTGTCTGTGAAAAATAGATAGAGAAACATGATTTTATACATAACTTTTAAAGAAATGTGTCTGTTGAATAAATTCAAGAATATCTGTTCCAGGGATGTTTAGGTCAATATGGGCAGCACCACTATCCAATTGGATGGTGTATTCTTGGTAGAAAAATCATTAAAGATGGAGTTGTCTGTTAACCAAAGCTGCGTACAATCTCTGTAACTAGGGTATAGTTTCTTTGCAACTTAATTCTTTTGAGTATGGTTTATTTTATTTTATTTTGTTTTACAGCTGCTACCTTTCAGTAAACGTTTCAGTACTTTTAATTTAGCTCTGCCTTTGATATACATTTTTATAAAATAGGATGTAATTTTATGTTTTATAGAAAACGGCTCTCTCTACATAGTAATGGATTACTGTGAAGGAGGAGATCTATTTAAACGAATAAATGCTCAGAAAGGCATTTTGTTTCAAGAGGATCAAGTAAGTTATCATGTAGGAGATTGACTTTTACTTTATAATGTCATTGATAAGTAGTTCAAAATGAAACTGGAATATTTAAGTTTATGTATATATCTATTTTTAACTACAAATGCTAATTGTAGCATGTTATTATCATATCCAAATTTTTTATCAGTCTCATTTCTGTTCTCAATAGCTTCCACCTTAGTTTAGTTTTCCATCTCATTTCCAGACTGTAATAATTTTGTTATATGTGTAATAGGCATTATGTCTTATATGTCTTGTAAGCAACCCTGATGGCATAGTGGTTAAGTGCTTGGGTGCTAACTGAAAGGTCAGTGGTTTGAACCGATCAGCTGCCCCATGGAAAAAAGATGTGGCAGTCTGCTTCCATAAAGATTACAGCCTTGAGGAATGGTATGGGACAGTTCTACCCTGTCCTGTAGGTCACTTTGAGTGAGAATTGAGGGCAATGGGTTTAGAACAGGCTTCATACATTGTGTATGTGTGTGTGTGTGTGTGTGTATCTATATTTATGTATCTATCTATCTATCTTAATTACTACTTTACACTGGTTAATTCTATATCTCGTCAATCTGGTTTACTGCTGCCAGATCATATCTTCCTAAAATGTGACTTTTACCTGGTAACCCTAACTTTAGAAGCCTTGCATTGGCAACTGCATTAAATTGAATCTTCTCTGTTTGATATCAAGAATGTCTAAAATATGTCCTATTCTACCTAAGTACCCTTATTATTTTTATTTATTATTCGCTAATCTGCACCCTTTCTTCATTTATTTAGTAGATATTTATTGAGTGTGTACTTTGTGTTAGGCACCTGGCCACTTTTGTATTATCACATTCTCTTCACTGTGTATTTATTCTAATTATTTATTTTATTTTGACAATACATTTTCTACAACTCTGTGCAATTAACATTCTACCTATTTTTCTTTTTAAAACTCTGCTCAAGCACCAGTCCCTTTTAAAATTTTCTATAACTACTCCAGTTTTCCTCCCCCAATTTCCTGATGTATTTTTCACTACCACTCATTCTTAATTACATTCTTTACATAGGAAAATGGTGGGGCATACTGTGCTCAGACTATTGGATTTTTTGGTCTCTTTCAATTTTTATAACCCCATAAGTAGTGGTAGTGTAGTTGTTCTATGTAATAGATAAAGATTCTAAAAGAGTTTAAGTAACTTGCCCTAAATCAAAAAGTGTTTGAACATAATTTTGTTTAACTACAAAGTTTGTGGTGTAATGCCTAAGGCATTTGACTCTAACCAGACGGCTGGTGGTTCAAACCCACCAACCACTCCTGAGAAGGAAGACTGAGCAATCTACTTCCATAGAGATACTGCCTTAAAAATGGAAGGAGGGGTTGCTATGAGTAGGAATCAACTTGACAATAGTGAGTTTGGGTTTTTTGGTTACAAAGTTTGTAAAATTTTCTTTTTGTAAATATGAAATAATCAAAAAGTTCAGAAGAAAAATCTTTCTCTACCTGCCCTTCTCTTAGATTATCACTATTTTGGTGTATTCTTCCCGACTTTCTTTCACATGTACATATATAAAATCTAAAACCAAAACCAAACTCACTGCTTTCAGGTCGATTCTGACTAGACATTGTTAAAAAATGGTATATTGTACATATCATGCTGTATCTTGGTTTTCTCACTTGAAAATTTATCTTGACTTTGTCAATCCATGTAGATCAGTTATATTAGTTTTTTCAGTTATTTCATTTTTAATTGTATTATATTCCAAAAGCCAAAACCAAACCTCTTGTTCTTGTGTTAATTGTGACTCAAAGCAACCCTGTAGGACAGAGTAGAACTGCCCCCGTAGGGTTTCCAAGGCTGTAAATCTCTACAGAAGCAGACTGGAATATCTTTCTCCTGCAGAGCAGCTGGTAAGTTTGAACTGCTGACATTTAGGTTCGTAGCTGACCACTTTACCACTGCACCACTTGGGCTCCTTGCATTATATTCCATTCTACCAATACCTGTACTTTTTCATTTCTTTTCCTCTGATATTTTCATACCTCATTTCCCTTCCCTTCCTCTCCATAGCAGTTATACCAATGTGTTTAATGTCTGTATGCATTTTTGCAAAAAGGCCGTATCATTGTTTTGTATACTTCTAAATGCCTACATGTTGTGCTATATTTCATTCATTTTACTTTCTCCCTAAGTACTGTGTTTCCTGATCCATCTGTTTTGCTTTGTATACATATGTTGCTTCTGACTGCTATGTGATGCTCCATAGTTTTCATCCAAGCCTACGCTTATTTTTGCTACATTATACACCCATCTTAATTGTTCTGAATAATTTCACGTTATAATTGTTTCCCTAACTAGGTTATAATTTACTGTAGAGCAGAGATCAGTTTTTGATTATGTCTCCTTGGGCTATTTAGTAAAAGCTGAATCTACAGTAGGCACATGTTGGCACAAATTATTGTTGGTTGATCATACTGTACAGATGGGGACTTTGAGGTTTTTGGCAGTAACTTGGAAATATGATCAAGTGAGATCTTGAGTTATACTCTAATTAAATACTCTGTAGTATAAAATCATATTTCTCAAGCTTTACCTACCTCATGTTTCCACAATTAAGTCCACTGGAAACAGCACAGGACTTGGAGTAAGAAGACTTAGATTGAGTTCTTGCTCTACTATGCCAAGGAGGCGGCATCTTCTGGCCTCCTCTAACTACACAAGAGGAAGATCACCATTGGAATCACCATCAGCAGCCCAAAGCCTGTTCTTATGAGGTCAGACATGCTGCTACCCTCCACCCCTCTTACTAACCTTGACACCAAGGCACCCACCACCTCTCTGCTTGGTTTAATAATTGGCTGCAGTGGCCACACAGAACTCACAGATTATGGGGTTTATTAGAGAAGCAGTAGGCTATAATTCAAGTTCAGGAACACTCTCAGTCTCTCTCAGCCAGCACTGTCTCTCAGCTGGCAGTCTCAGTTGGCCATCTTCCTCAGTTTCTCTCAGTAGCATGCCTCTCTCTCAGTAGTGTGTCTCTCGTGTGTCTCTCTTTCAGCAGCACATCTCTCTCATGTCTTTCTCAGTAGTGCATCTCTCTCAGCAGTCAGAGAGATTCTGCCTCTAGGAGGGCTTCTTTTGAGCCTGGCATAGTGGCCAGAACTAATGAGTCCCAACATCAGAGTTCTATACACCTGAGAGAGAGTGAACTTTCCCAGAAGATTGGGTTGTGCTGCCCAGGTGGATGAATTTAATAAGCAGCTACTCAGCTGCTCACGGCAAAGTGGGAGTTACAAAGACTATGGCTATAAAAGCCATACCATGTAATTTACTACACCACAGGCCACCCCCTGGCTTTTCTAGCCATTATACCTTTTATACTTCAAAAATTAACAACCCCTTCACCATCAGTTTGAGAATAACAACACCCATGAAAGCCTGTAAGCCAGCCACTTCGTGCCTTTATCCACCCCCATTTTAGATAGCCAATTTCTAATTTGCATGTCCCCATCAAACCAGTTCTGGTAGCATAGTGCCTAAGGCACTTAACTGCTAACCAGAAGGCTGGCGGTTCAAACCCACCAGCCACTCCTCGGAAGGAAGGTTGGGCAATCCTACTTCTGTAGTGATACAGCCTCGGAAACCCAAGGAGGGGTCACTATGAGTCGGGGCCGACTCGACGTCATATAACAACAACAACATCAAACCAGTACTCTGAGGAGACAAGCATGTTCTTTTCTCTCTGGAGAATCTTCTTGTTCTGCTTGGAACTTTGGGCATCTGCATACATAAACAAGCGAAATCCAGCCCAGCACAAGCCATCAAATTGCAACAACTTACCACCAGCTCAGTGTCAAACATCTTCCTCTTCGTTTGGTCAGGTTCTGGTCAGCTCAGCCCTAGCCATCCCACCTAGATCATGGGTTCCTGCTGCCAAGTTTGGGAGTCACACTCTTCCCTTCACTTCAGACCAGCCAGTATCTTCTCTCTCTCATACTGAGTCTTTAGGGACTAGTGCCACAAACTCATTGCACTTCAGAACAGCCAGCCCTTCCTCTCATCCCTAATCTCCATGGCCTAGGTCAAAGAGTACCAAACTCAGCCCGTTTTTCCATTGCTGCACTTTTCCCATTTCCACTCTTCAGGTGGACATGCGAGCAACATACAGGGCCATCTACTCACCAGCTTCCTTTAACTTCCAGTCTACAAAGGGGTTTCTCTCATGGGCCATGACTTTCTGCTTGGATGCACCCAAAGCCTAACTGCTGGTTTGAAATTAAAAAAGCCAGTCATTTATTTTCTCTTCAGGTCCTATCTTCAAATGCAAATCTTCTGTTTTCTCAGTAGTTCTGGGTGGGTCTTTTCAAATGCAAATTTACTCACTCAGCAGGTTCCGGGTAGGGGTCAGGTTTTCTACCTAAGCCTCCTGTACTCTACACACAGGTTTGAAACAAAACTTGTGTTTCTTCTGGGCAAATTCTGTTTCCTCTTTTAACATATCCAATCAAGTGTGGACTGAAGGCGGCCTTATAAGCTCTCTGTTATCCATACCCCATAATCATTTCTAATATACAAGTATGTAAGAAAACATTCAGTGTCCATAGTACATTCAGATAAGCACATAATTCTTTTTAAGACATTCCAGTTTCATCTCTTCACCTTGATTATCTTCCCATTCTATGTATATGGCCTTGGACCTTTTGCTGGTTATAACCCAAAGCCCTAGCCTCTGGATCAAGTATCTCCTTTAATAGGTAATACCAACCAAAGTAACCATCTAAGAATCTAGTTTCACTTCCCAGGCCCTTTCCTTCATTCTTTTACAAAGTCTCATACTTCTGAGTCTGGAGTTACTGCAGTGAATCCCGCTGCTTCTGACACTATCTGCCAAAGGGGTAAGGAGTCAGAATCTTCTGAACTCTCCTAATTACACAAGAGGAAGACAGAATCACCATCAGCAGCTGAAGGCCTGTTCTTATGAGGCCAGACATGCTCCCCTCCAGCCCTCTTAACTAATCTTGATACCAACCATTCCTTCCGTGGCACTCACCACTTCTCTGCTGAGTTCAGTAATTCACTGCAGTGGCCTCACAGAGCTCACAGATTATGGGGTTTATTAGGGAAGCAACAGGCTACAGTTCAAGTTCGGAAGGTAGGCTCAGTCTCTCTCAGCTGGCTGTCTCTCTCAGCCAGCCATCTCTCTCAGTCTTTCTCAGTAATGTGTCTCTCTCTCGGCAGTTGTCCCTCTTGTGTCTTTCTTTCAGGAGCACTTCCTCTCATGTCTGTCTCTCAGCAGTGTGTCTCTGTCAGCCAGCAGTCAGAGAGGTAGATTCTGCTTCTAGGAGGGCTCCTTTTGAGCCTGGCAAGATGGCCAAAACCAACTAATCCCAACATCAGAGTTCTACACACCTGAGAGTGAGAGTGAACCTCCCCAGAAGATTGTATCATGGTGCCCCAAGTGGATGACTTCACCAAGCAGCTACTCAGTTGTTCAGGGCAAAGTGGGAGTTACAAAGACTGTGGCTAGAAAAGCCATACCATGTAATTCACTACATCACAACTGCTTGTGAGTTTAGTGTTTATTGACAAGTTACTTAACTGTTCTGAGATGATTTCATCATTCATTAATAGGGATGCACCTGCCACGTGGCCTGCTTCACTGTTGTGGTGAAGGGCAAATAGTAATGTATGGTGGTTGTTGTTGCTGTTATGTGCTGTCGAGTTGGACCGACTCATGGCGATCCCTCCTTGCGTTTCCAAGGCAGTATCACTACGGAAGTAGATTGCCCAACATTCCTTCTGAAGAGTGGCTGGTGGGTTTGAACCACCAGCCTTCTGGTTAGCAGTCAGGTTCCTTAGGCATTACACTACCAGAGCTCCCAAAAACTAAACTCACTGCTGTTGAGTCAGATCTGACTCATAGTGACCCCCTCTTTGGGTTCTGATGTGGTAGAGCTATGGAAGTAGATTGCCCAACCTTCCTTCCAAGGAGTGGCTGGTGGGTTTGAACTGCTAGCCTGTTAGTTGGCAGTCAAATATCTTAGGTACTATGCTACCAGAGCTCCTTAATGTATGGTAGTGAAGGTCAAATAGTAATGTAGAAGGAGCTCTGGTGGTGTAGTGCCTGAGGCATTTGACTACTAACCAGAAAACTGGCAATTCAAACCCACCAGCCACTCCACAGAAGGAAGACTGGGCAGTCTACTTCAATAAATATTTACTGCCTCAGAAACCCAGTGACGGTCGCTAAGAGTTGGAATCGACTCAGTGACAGTGAGTTTGGCTTTTGTTTTTGTTAGAATATAAAGTGCTATTTTTTTTTTTTTTTTAGCAGTTTATTGTTTGTGCTTATTTTCACCTCATTTGCTATTAAATGCTGTGACCATCCACTATAAAGTACATTGATATTGGTTCTACTGTAGGATAAAATATCTTAGTATATAGTGATAACTGTATGTGTGTATATGTGCATGTATGTGAATATATCTCATCATACTCGCAGTTATTATGGAGATCTATATTATGTACTTTTGTCTATCTCTGAGACTATTCATAGTAACTATATAATTTGGTAAGTCTGTTTTTTAAATCAGTAACATTTTTTCAAACTGTTGTGAATAATAAGTTTTGTTAGCACAAATAAAGACATCATTTATTTCAGTCTGCTTAAAAAGAGACAAGGCTATTTAAACAAAAACATATTACTGCTCTTTGGGCTTTAAAGCAAAAAAGCTTAGAGGGTAGAGGCCAACTGTATTTTAGGCTGTAGATTAACATCAATTAAGATGGTATTGTCCATTTGTAGGACAGAAATGGGGAACAGGAAGACCTGTTAAACAAGGTCATTCTCTAAATTCTCAGGCTGTTGTCTTTAATGATATTTCCTTGTTTACATCTTTATTGGACAAAAATCTACAAGATAGTAAGGAACTTGACTTAAGTCTGTGACTTTGGATCAGTAGTAAACAAGAAGATAAACTAAGTACATTCCCCTAGACAATCCTTGAGTGGCCTTTGCCCTTATAGAGTACTGAAAAGATCTTTCATAGACTATTTTTACCTTGTTTCCAAAGTTAGGAGTGAAGTACATATTGAGCCTTTTTACTTCCAAATGCCCAACCCCAGAATGTGTTTAAATATGGTGAATGTCGGGAGAGAAAAAAACCAGAGATGCATGACATATTTCCAGTCTGATTTTTTCCTTTTCTGGTTTTATTTATATTTAAAAAAATATATATAGAAAAAAGTGCATATAAAATAACAAAGGAAAATCACAGTCATGCTACTTTTAAATATAAATTATTTTTCATTTTGAACTCTTCTCTTGAAGTTTCTTTCCATGTTTATTCCAATTTAAGAATTGGTTCAGTAGCAGTCTTTTACCTTTTAGAGTTAGAATTTGCCCTGTACATACTGAGTGCCATGTGACCGGAATCTCTATTTAATGTTTAAAACCCCAGAAACCCATTCCAGTCGAGTTGGTCCTGACTCAGCAACCCAACAAGATAGGTGTAAAACTGCCCTATAGAGTCTCCCACTCTGTAATCTTTATGGAAACAGGCTGCCACTTCTTCCTGCCATGAAGCAGCTGGTAGGTTTGAATTGGTGACCTTTCAGTTAGTAGCCAAACACTTAACCACTGTGTCATCAGGGCCCCTTCTATTTAATGTTAGTAGAAACAAATTAAAAATAAATTGTAACCTAAAAATAATTTAAAGAACTTGCCTTTCCCTCAAACTCAGATACTCACAATTCCATTTAATGGTCAGGAAAAGACTACTTTACTATGGAATGTAAACTTAAAAAGAAATAATTCTGATTTTTTTATCTTAGATTTTGGACTGGTTTGTTCAGATATGTTTGGCCCTGAAACATGTACATGATAGAAAAATTCTTCATCGAGACATAAAATCACAGGTATGCTTATTTTACCACTAATAACTGCTAAATGGATAAGGACATCGAGTCTATGTTGTCTTGGGCCACAAAATTTTGTTCTTTACTTTTCCCCTCTTCACTATTATCGTAGAATGCTCTGCATCTGCAGCTTGTAGTAGGTCTTCTGTTTTCTTCCCATATCTTTCTCTTTCTTGGTTCACTACTCCATTGTGATAACAAATCCAAAAAGTAGGTGTGTCAAATACACTCCAACATGTATTGTGTATTTTGAGATTTTGCATATCTATAGGGAGCTCTGGTAGCATAGTGCCTAAGGCACTTGACTGCTAACCAGAAGGCTGGCGGTTCAAACCCACCAGCCACTCCTCGGAAGGAAGGTTGGGCATTCCTACTTCCGTAGTGATACTGCCTCGGAAACCCAAGGAGGGGTCACCCGCTATGAGTTGGGGCCGACTCCATGGCAAATAACAACAACAACATAGATGTCTTTATTTCATTGTTTTACTTTAATAATATTTTGGATATAAACTTCTAGTTTGGACATTGTTTTCCTACAGAATTTTAAAGATGTTGCTCATTTGCCTTCTGGATTCTAGTGTTGCTTTTTTAGGAATTAAAAGTCTTTTTAATTTCTTATCCTTATTTGCAGTGTTGTTACTTGGTGAGGTTCAGTTATCATTTGTTATACTGTGTGCTTTTGATCTGAGAATGTGTATTTCCTCATTCCTGGAAAATGTTCAGCTGTATCTTTTCAAATATTGCTTCTTCCTGTCTCTACCTCTGTCTCTACCTTGATGGTAGTGTTCTGGATCTCCTTTTAGACATGTTGGAACTTCTTGATCTATCCCTTCAAGTATCTTATTTGTTCCAGTGCCTAAGGCATTTGACGGCTAAACAGAAGGGTGATGGTTCAAACCCAACAGCCACTCCGCGGGAGAAAGACTGGGCAATCTACTTTGGTAAAGATTTATTGCCTCAGAAACCCAAAGGAAGCGCTTTGGTGGTGTAGTGCCTAAGGTATTTGACTGCTAACCAGAAGGCTGGCAGTTGAAACCCACCAGCCACACCTTGGAAGGAAGATTGGGCAATCTACTTCCATAGAGATACTGCCTCGGACATCCAAGGAGGGGTTGCTATGGGTTGGTATCAACTCGATGGCAGTGAGTTTGATTTTTTGGTTTTGACTGCAGTGTAGGTAAATTCCTCAACCTACCTTCTTGTACACTAACGCTTTTCAACTTTGTGTAAATCAGTGTTTATCCCATCTGTTTTCTTTTATTGTAATGGCTTTTTCTCTCTAGGATTTCTATTTTTTTTTTCACATTTCTTATGTTCTTATAGATGCTTAATTTTTGTTTCATAATTTCTTGTTCATTTTAAATTAATACTCCTTCATTTATCTCTTTTTGTAATTTTGTAACCATATTTATTTTAAAGTTTTTCTTGGACTTTTTATTAAAATTAATATCTTTCTGGAGTAAATTCTTGTTCAGATTGATTTTTTTTTTTTAATTGTGATTTGGGTGAAAGTTAACAGAGCAAATTGGTTTTCCATTCAACAATACATACACATTTTGTTTTGTGGCATTCATTGCAATCTCCACAATGTAACAGCACTTTTCCCACTTCCTCTATGTGTTTACCATTTCCCTTCATCTTTCTTGTGTATCCCTTCCTGCCATTTTAGCTTTATATTTATATTGCTCTTTTGATCTCATATAGTGATTGATTTAAGGGAGTACATACCTTCCTGATATTACTGTTCATCTTATAGGCCTGGCTATCATTTGGCTGAAAGTTGAGCCATGGGGGTGAATTCATTTCCAGGCTTGAAGGGTGTCTAAGGGCCATAGTCTTGGGGTTCTACCAGTTTCTATCAAACCAGTAAGCCTGGCCTTTTTTATGATTTTGAGTTTTCTTACACATTTTTCTTCTACTCTGTCTAAGACCTCCCATTGTGAACATATTGTTGATTCTATTAGCTGTTTTTGTTCACGTTAGATTTCTTATTTATTTATTCATTTATTTTCTTGTCATTTGGGTGAAAGTTTACAGAGCAAATTCACTTTCCATACAGCAGTTCACATACACTTTGTCTCATGATATTGACTGTGATATACCACAATGCAACAGCTCCCCTCTGATTTCCTCCCCATAGTTACCTCTTCCCTGTGACCTTCCCTCCATGCACTCCTGTCCCTTGAGCAATGTCCCTGTGCATACACAGCCCTTCTATTCCCCTATGATTTTTCTCTGCAAGGAGTGTATCTACCTAGTATAAATGTTCACCTTATATGCCTGTGTTTTGTTTGGCTGGAAGCCACAGGTGTGGGTTAAGTTCCAGACCTGAAGGGCAGCTAGGGATGATAGTCTCAGTGGTTCTGTCAGGCTCTGTCAGACCAGCAAACCTGGTCTCTTTTTTTTTTTTTTCCAAATGATTATGAGTTTTGTTCCACATTGTTCTCCCTCTGTCCAGGATCTCCTACATAAATCCTCCTCAGAGTGGTTGACAGTTTTGTTCACATTAGATTTCTTTATGTGTATAAGAGGTTTTTTTTTTTTTTTTTTTTAAGGCTCTTTTTGTGGGAGGTGTTTTGTCTATAGCTCATCCATCTTCACATAGAGGTCTCATGGTTGCCTCACTTGAGCCCTCTCAATTCCTTGAGTAGGAACTACAGAGGAAATTTAGTCGTAGTGTCAAGGCTGTGTGTCTGTTTATTTATCTCCTTAGGCTTGCAGTTTCCTGTAAAGCCATATTCCCATAATAAGGAGTGGAAAGGAAAGGAACAATGTCGGTAGTTCCATATTCCTATCTTTCCTACTCACAAACACTCCCAACCATCTAAACCTATTTCATTGCATCTTAACGTCATCTCAGTTCTGACTTAAGTCTCCTGAGTGTTAGGGAGTTAAGTTCTTGTGACTCCATAAACTCCTGGCTTCCACTGTTTTCCTAGAGCATACAAAAAAAAACAGAAAAACAAACTCACTGCCCTCAAGTTGGATCTACCTCATAGTGACCCCTCCTTGGGTTTCCGAGGTGGTATCTCTGTGGAAGTAGATTGCCCAATCTTCCTTCCAAGGAGTGGCTGATGAGTTTGAACTGCCAGTCTTCTGGTTAGCAGTCAGATGCCTTATGCACTATGCCACCATACTACTACTCACTGCCCTCAAGTCGAATCCGACTCATGGCGACCCCTCCTTGGGTTTCTGAGATGGTATCACTATGGAAGTAGATTGCCAAACCTTCCTTCTGCTGTGTCATTGTAGGAGTTCTTTATTTTTTAATGCAAAATAATTGGGGAAATTATTGGGAAATTTTAAGGTTAATTTGTTACATCTAGGCTAGTTAGGAACTTGCACAGTTTTATTTTTGGGGGGAGAAGGTGTAGTTTCATGTTTTTTTTTTCTTTCTTTTATTGTGATTTGGGTGAAGATTTACAAAGCAAATTCACTCTCCATACAGCAGTTCACATATACTTTGTCTCATGACATTGACCACAGTTTACCATAATACAGCAGCTCCCCTTCCACTTCCTCCCCATAGTTACCTCTTCCCTGTGTCCATCCCTCCATGCACTCCTGCCCCCTGAGCTGTCTCTCTGTGCATAAGCACCCCTTCTTTCTCCCATGATTGTTCTCTCCAAAGAGTGTATCTACTTGAGGTAAATGTTCAGTTCATATGCCTGTCTT